GAATAAAGCTTTTGTGCACCCGTCTAAAAGGAACTATAAAACATTCATGCAACCATGACAAATGTTGAAATTGTTTTTAAAATACATTGCAAAATGTGTTTCAAGCAAACTGTTGTTCATACAGTACAACACAGTGGTTTGTCCCATTGTATCATTTTCATAATCTTTGGTGGCATATACCTGAAGACCTTTATAACAGAACAAAAACGTAAATATTATGATGTTTTTGATCATAAAATTATTGAGATGAACCCCTCACATGCAGTGCAGTGCTAGAAACCCTATCTAGGGAACAACATGTTAAACTATTGTAAGAGTTGAAGGGATGGGGCTCTACATGTACAGGAGACTCTAGAGATAATAAATCCAGCAAAAGAGTCCTTTGTCCCTGATTTTAAAGTCAACATGAAATGGAGTTTGTACTTCCCACGTTTTTCCTAAATAAAACAGAATATACTGGACTTCAGATCTTGATTGGTTTGAGACATCAGCAGGCTATGCAGGAAGCCAACCTTTTTTCCCACCAGATATTTTACTTAGAGTACAAATAGTGTATTCTATTTACACTTTGTGTGAAGAGCATCTGTCACTCTTTGCACTTGTATACACTAAGAAATGCTGGGTTAAATATAACCCAGCGCTGGATTAAAAAGGGACAAACCCAGCTATTGGGTTGTTCTGACCCAGTGGTTGGGTCCCTTTTTAACCCAGCATTTTTTAAAGTGTACAAGATGCTATTTGTTTCTATTTATACTTGGTGGAAACAGTATCTAACACATTTTTTTATTTTACAGTATGTGGAACAAGCACTAAAGAATTGTGCACAGTAATTTCATGTTGACTTTAAGCAATAGAGTAAAAGATTTCACTGAGATACATTGATTGATGTGTGTCATATTGAGTTTAGGGCAAAAAATCTGATGCTTTATATCTTCCCAAAATGGCCCATTGACAAAAACCAATCAAATCGGCCCCAGTCTTCATCCCTATTAGGGATTTTTTAATTATGTCTATGGCCATGTTCACACTGTAAAGCTTCAGGAGTGACAACCCATTAAAATACGGGACTGAATCCCCTAAATGATCAATTCATGTGTGTACTGAGCAGAACTCAGTGCTGAAATTGCGACGACTGCCACCATGGTAATCTTAAAGGGGTCATACTATGCGATTTCAATTTTTCCTTTCTCTTTGGAGTGTTACAAGCTCTTGGTGCATAAAGAAGATCTGTAAAGTTGCAAAGACTAAAGTCTCAAATCCAAAGAGATATTCTTTATAAAAGTTAAGAGTCAACCACGCCTACCTAAAACGGCTCGTTCTAACACGCCCCCACATATCTACCTCACTATGTGGGAAGATTTGCATAACGCCGCCCAAATGTTCACGCAAAGAAAGAAGGCGTAACTTTTATTCTCGCTGTAGTATTGTTGTTGCCGCCATGTTGTCAAGGCGCTGTGTGTTTGTTGTGAAAGCGAAACTACTCTAGCCCGCAGTGTGTGACGCTGTGTGACACATTTTATGGAGGACTGTTTCCTGAACCTGCAGTTCTGCATGGGTCTGTGCTCAAAGGCTGTTCTATAAATTGGGCAGTTCCAACTTTGCAAGGACAGTCTGGCACTTCTGACACATTTCATTACACCAAATACTCAAAATAATGTTCTTTTTAGCAACATCATATGACACCTTTAACGTTTTGGAGTCTTGCCTGTTTGGTATCCGCTATTTTTGACCAAAGTAATACTACAGCAACCAAATACACATTACATTCAACAATTTTAACAAAATCACTGTTGACAGAGGCATTGTTTATTTTTGAAAGTCTGCTTCACAGAGCATGTTCTTGCAGTGTTGCCATGTCCACTTATTATCAGCGTATTTGGCCTTATGGTTTCGCTCATAAAGTGATCCAGTTTATGGTGCAGGTTGCAATATTTTCTCTTATTTCCAATATAAATCATTTGGATTTATTTAGGTTTATTTTTTACTTGTTCTTGTTTGCAGTTTTTTTCTAGCAAGACCTAGCAACATATGTAAGTCAAGGTGCTAGGCGTATCTGCTTCCCTGTGACTTTCTTGCACTGTGCATAAAGCAGACTGACATATCTAGTTCAAACACATCATTAACATCTAGTTGTTCTCTTCAGTTGTATACAAACTGCGAAGAAGTTTTGTAAATGTGGTTGTCACTCCCGTAAATTACTGAACTGTGTGGACAGATCAGGATTAGGCTTTAAAGGATGAACTGACAAGTGAGTTTAGCTGCAGTGTGTACATGGCCCATATTACTTCATGAAGTTGTGTAAAGCATGCTGCTGCAAATATCATCTAATGCCTTTTATTGTTTAGTCTTACCCCAAGTGACCACAGTATATAGAATAGAGCTTTTTTTCTTTTCTTTTTTTTTTGCTTGAGGAGCCCTTATTTTTGGAGATGTTAGACACTCCATAATTTTTATTCCATAGTAAGGACAGCTCATACAATACATTTAAACTGAGCTACTTTAATGCCATCTCTGAACTTTCTACCACGACTCTGCTGTTCTTCGGCTGGTTCTTCCTGTATACGTTGATTGACAGATGTCTCGTCCAGTCAGCGGTGAGTAATCCCAAACCAATGGCGCTGTCTCAAACTATACCTACCTCTTCCGGTTTGTCTGATTTGTCATTGTGTTTTCTGACTTGTTAATTTGTTTTCGGATTTGTCATTGTGTTTTCTGACTTGTTATAATGTTTTCTGAATTGTTGTTGTGCTTTCTGAATTGTTATTTTGTTTTTTAGACTTGCATTTGTAATTTGTTATTTTGCTTTCAGAATTGTGATTTGCTTTGCACTTCTCGGCAACCGTAGGAATGCAGTGTTTTCTTTCTCCAAACATAACGCTGCTCATTTAAACCAAAATGTTCTATTTCTCCAGTATTCCTCTGGCTTGTTCACATGATCTTTATCAAACTGCAGATGGGCAACAATGTTCTTTTTGGAGAGCAGTGGCTTTCTTCTTGTGACTCTACCATGCACACCATGGTTGTTCACTGTTCTCCTGATGATGGACTCATAAACATTCATATCAGCCAATGAGAGAAAGGCCTTTAGTTGCTTAGAAGTTAGCCTGCAGTCCTTTGCAACCTAGTGGACTTTTACACGTCTTGCTTTTAGAGTGTTTTATGTTGGTGGAGCACTCCTGGGGAGGGTAACAATGGTCTTGAATTTCCTCCATTTGTACACAATCTGTCTGACTGTGGATTGGTGGAGTCCAAACTCTTTAGAGATGGCTTTGAAAACTTTTCTAGCCTGATGAGCAACAGCAACTCTTTTTCTGAGGTCGTCAGAGATCTCATTTGTCTGTGCCATGATGCACTTCCACAAACATGATCAAACTTTGATAGATCTCTGTTCTTTAAATAAAACAGGGCACACACTGACACCTGATAGTCATCTCACTGATTGAAAACACCTCTGAACAGATGGACTCTAATTTCACCCTAGAGATCTAATTTCATCCTAGAGATTCACATACTTTTGCTACTCACAGATATGTAATATTGGTTAATTTTCCTGAATAAATAAATGACAATATTATATATTTTCACCTCATTTGTTTGATCATCAACGAATCCTGAAAAAAATATTACATTTACATTTAGTCATTTAGCAGACACTTTTAACCAAAGCGACTTACAAATGAGGACAATGGAAGCAATCAAAATCAACAAAAGAGCAATGATATGCAAGTGTTATGACAAGTCTCAGTTAACCTAACGCAGTATATGTAGGAAGGTTTTTTTTTTTAATTATGTAATATAAAAAAAAAAAAGATAGATTAGAAAAAGAATAGAGCACTCTAGTGTTAGAGGCCTTTTTTGCTTTATTAATTGTATAAACAGGGCACACACTGACACCTGATAGTCATCTCACTGATTGAAAACACCTCTGAACAGATGGACTCTAATTTCACCCTAGAGATCTAATTTCATCCTAGAGATTCACATACTTTTGCTACTCACAGATATGTAATATTGGTTAATTTTCCTGAATAAATAAATGACAATATTATATATTTTCACCTAATTTGTTTGATCATCAACGAATCCTGAAAAAAATATTACATTTACATTTAGTCATTTAGCAGACACTTACAAATGAGGACAATGGAAGCAATCAAAATCAACAAAAGAGCAATGATATGCAAGTGTTATGACAAGTCTCAGTTAACCTAACGCAGTATATGTAGGAAGGTTTTTTTTTTTAATTATGTAATATAAAAAAAAAAAAAGATAGATTAGAAAAAGAATAGAGCACTCTAGTGTTAGAGGCCTTTTTTGCTTTATTAATTGTATAATAAATCAAAAGAAAACAAATAGACAAAATACAAAAAGAATAGAGAAGCTAGAGTTAATTTTTTTTTAAAGAAAACAAGCCGTCAGTATTATATTATTATATATATTATATTAAGCAGAACAGCTGTTGTCAACTGTAATAAGAAATGTTTCTTGAGCACCAAATCAGCATATTAAAATGATTTCTGAAGGATCATGTGACACTGAAGACTGGCGTAATGATGCTGAAAATTCAGCTTTGCCAAAATAAGAATAAAACTTATTATAAATTGTGTGTGTGTGTCTGTGTGTGTATATTAGTGCTGTCAAATTGATTAATTGCAATTAATCGCATCCAAAATAAAAGTTTGTGTTTACATAACATATGTGTATGCTGTGTATACTTGTTATATGTATATATAAATGCAATATACATATAATATATACAATATTTATATATGATTTATATTATACATAAATATTAATATATATTACATATATTTCTTGTATATACATATAAATATACACAGTACACACACATATCTTATGTAAACACAAACTTTTATTTTTGGATGTGATTAATTACAATGAATCAATTTGACATATATAAAGGTTGTGTTTATTTGGTCAAAATACAGTAAAATACAGTGATATTGTATAATAATATAATATAATAAATACTACCATTGTAAACCTATGGGATCATGGGTTTTCAGTGCATCTCACCTTATAGAGAACAGATGGAGGAAGCTCTGCATCTGATGAGCCATTTGTCACTGTTGGTGCTTCATTCTAAATACAAAGAATAAAGAGAAACACCTTAATTACACCTGAGCAACTCAACAGAATAAAACAAACCTGCTATATATAGAAATGTACACAAAAACGGACATTTAACATGACCACAGTGGAAACCTGCCACAAACCACCAAACAACATGATCTACTTCTGAGCCATCCTAACTCTATGACATTACTCCACAATACAACCACGATTAATCTGGTTCCTCTTACACTTTGAAGCTCCTCCCACTGAGGCGGCTCTGACTCCGCCTCCCAAGCCTGAGCCGCACCACTGCCCCAGTTTGTATCTGTGTCTTGCATTTGCCCTACCTGGGACCCTTCCTCGCCCCAGTGCACTGCACCATCGTCGTCCCAGTCTGGCTGTGCAGGAGCAGCTGTTTCACTGCTCCAGCCTGACTGCGCAGACACGCTTTCCTGCTCATCCCAGCAGGGAGCTTCATACGGCTGTACGGCTGGAGCGACCTCATCCTCCCACTGAGGAGCCTCATACGGCTGCTGGCCGTAAATCTGAGTGGCAGCTTCTTCATCCGATTCCCACTGCTGGGAGGGGTCTGCAGCAGGGGTCTGATCAGGCTGGGATGGGGAGGAAGGGTCGCCAGGATTGTTTGTTGGATTTTGGGAGGTAAAATAGATGGTGGGAGAAAAGGCCAGGCAATATGGCAAAAGGCGCAAATAATTAGCAAGAAAAAGGGAATAAATGAAGCAGGGCTGCACACTTAATCGAATTTCTAATCGCGATTACAATTACGGATGCCACAATTACGTAATTGTTCAAAGTCCACTTATGTTATTCTGAGTGCTTAAGATGTGTTATTTTCTTTCTGCAGGTCATCTTAAGGGGTTTTCCACTGTTTTAATTTTAGTGTTAGTATAACATTATAATAGGCTACCATGCATATTTTTACTTTTTTATTATTATTTAAAGAAGAAACCAATCCAATGTACAGTTGACATTTGAGCCTTAATGCTACAGAAAAGCAATACAAGTTTTTCAGTTTGAGTGTTTTCAGCTTATTTATTTTCATATAAAAATATGGCATGCAGTTGCTTCAAACAATGGTATAAACATCATTCAATGTAAATTTTGATAATCGTAATTAATAATCGCAATTACAATTTCAAGGGAATAATCGACAATTATGATCTTTGCCATAATCTTGCTGCCCTAAAATGAAGGTGAATTACTGTTCATTCTAAACTCCCCAAATGGTTATTTTAGTATTATTTGTAGTTTTTTATTAATATTTTGAATTAGCTTTTATTTTTAGACTTTCAATTTTAATTACATTTTTAGTGATTTTGTTATGTCATTTTTATTAATTTTTGTTTATTTCATTTATTACTATTTAGGTTTCATTTATTTTTATTTCAGTTTTAGTTTTTACTTCATTTCCAGTTTTACCATTTCAACTTTAACTAAACAAAAATGAGAAATGTTGCCTTGCAACTAACTGAAATAAATTTAGACTTTTCATCTGAATTTATATTTGTATTTTTACTTAGGTTTAAGACCCTGACAATTACAATACATTATTTATTTAATTTAATTAATTAAATTTTTTTACAGTATAAATCTTGTAAGTCCAAATATATGGGCGAAAAGCGAGTGAAATCTGTTATTAATTAATTCACCAGATAGCAAGATTCACACACACACACACACAAACCTAAATAGAGGTGCATGTAAACCCCTGAGCAAAGCAAACTGTGCATAGTATTTTTTCTTGTCTATATTAAGATCTAACTATTTTTTTTTGTTCTTGTGTCTGTAATGGATGTCTGTTTTCAGCTCAGAAATCAACTGACCTGACCTGGCTGAACATGAGACATACTGTGACTATTAAAACTACTGGATGCGGCTTAACTTTGCTGAACATCTGTTTGTTTGTGTGAGCTTTTCTTTCTAATTTGTCAATTCAAAGACTGTATAAGAATTTCATCAAAAGCCCCATCAAATGGTTATTTCTGGCTCTTTGAGTGCAACCCACTGCCATAATCAATTAGACCACAAGAATCACAAAGATTATGTCAAGAGAGATCTGATCCATCACAAGAGTGCCAGCACAGCACAAGGTCTTCTTACATCCAATGAAGCCTCCTTCCATGAGGCAGCACAAAATGAAAGCGTGAGATAAATGAGGCCCATAATAAGAATGCAAAGTACGAATAATCACTATGACAATAGTAGGAAGAGAGCTCTCATAAACCCCACTGACAGGAGCTTATGCTCATAATAGTGTTCAGAGCTTTTTATTACAGCAAACATGAGAGGAAAGCATTTGTTAAAGGTGAAGTTGATACTGGAACAACATGTACAGGAGTAAGAAGAAAATTAATATTCAGTAATATTCTCAATGAATAAGCCCAGACAGAATCTATAGACTGCATTTTTGCTGAGATTTTAGGGGAAAATCGATGGAATTCAGTGGAGTGAGTATAATCATGGTAAAATGTGTCAAACAGAGATAACACACTGAGGGTTAAAACACCAAATCACAACCGCTTATTGTTAGTTTTTATGTGTGTAACATGCTTTACGTTTGCTTAAACACACTCATGTTTACCTAATTATCTACGACTCGATTATAAGGCAGTGTTGTTATTTGTTAACTAAAACTACTAAAATAATGTAATATAATATAATAATATTAGATGAAAAGCGTAACTAAACAAATAAATGAAAGCAAAATAATTCTTTGAATATTAATAAATACTATAATAGTATATAAAAGTAAATAGCTCAAATAACAAAAAGCTGAAATAAAATAATGTATATTTTTATAAATGTATTGACAATGAAACAAAATATGTTTGAGCTCTGGAACTAAAGCTAAAACAGAATTAAAAAGAAATGAAAGCTAAATAGAACTATTAAAAAGAATGAAAATGACAAAAGAACATAACAAAATTCCTAAAACTTAAACTAAAATTTAAAAATATGAATAAATACTATAATAGTATATAAATAACTCTAGAATGACACTGTTGTAAGGTTAATTATAAATACTGATCTAACACTGCCACTTATAGAAAACGTTTACGTATTCACATGGTTATGTCCAGTTTTTTTAGGAGAAAAAAAATCAGCATTCTCTCCTATCAGGAGATTCATCACTTATTTAAAAATGTATTTAAACCCCATTGCAATGTATAAATGTATAAAAAAGGGCTTGGTTTTATTTCTGCTTCTTTAGTTTCATACATACTGTAAGACATTATAAACAAACAAAACACAAATACATAACCATAACATAGAGCACATAAAAACATCAGCTCTCTCACAGTACCTTTGCTGGTGATTTAGGGGCGTCTGACCCAGACTCTGAGAGGTTGTGATTGGCTGCTTCTTCACTGCATGAAAAACACACACTGGTAAATAAATACCACACCTTCATGAGTGTCTTGACTGAAATAGATCACTAAGTGGCAGCAGAGATCAGTGTTAATACTGCAGGCAGATTGGTTTAAATCACTACCATGCACAATTACTGCATTTCAAAGACATTCCAGACATGCAGTTCTATTTTTTGTGTCAGCATGTACACACGGCCCCGTGCAAGCAGTAATTTTCAATAACAAACAAGTGTTATTGCATTTTTAATAATTCAGCTGTGATTTGCACCAAAAATTTAATTTTCTGTTTTATTTTACAAATGGAGGAAAAACATACGCTTCTCAACAAAACAAATGTTTCTCAGACATTTCTTCAGAGGAAAGCCTGAGAGCCAAAACATTGTTTTTTCTTCCATGTAAAAAATAAAACAGCTGAATTTCTGAAGTCATTAAAAAGATCTACACACCAAAACGAGATATTATATGAGACGAGAGAGCATGGTGTAAATAACCTTGTTGAATAATCTTTAATGCAATTAATGTTGCATAAACACACACATAAAACATAGGAGCTGTTACCTCTTCCCAGTGCTTGCTGTCGTGACACTTTTTCTGTGGATTATTTGGGGGAGCGTTGGTTTAAAATACAAGGAAAACAAGAACTCGCACATCTGTGTGCTAAACTATAGGAAACCAGAAGTGTCTATACAGACAGGAAATATCCCAAGATAAAAGCACTCACTTGGTTAGACGCTGCTCATCCAGTTTGGTCATAATATCACTCAGATTCTGGTTGAGCTGTGTGTGAGAGAGTGCAACATACCCTGGTAACTAACAACAATAATCTCATTTATCCCTTGTTAATAAGTCTCTTATTATTGGCTCACTTTGCCCATGTCCCTGTGAAATTTTTCCTCCAGGCCGGCAACGCTCTGGAATGTGTTAACATACAAGCCAACACGACTGCAGGGAGAAAGAGAAAACGACAAGTCAACATCAGTTCATTTAAAGGGGAAAAAAATGTTTTAGCTCACCAAAAAATGTATATTCTGTTATGTACTTGTCATGATGTTATTCAAATCATGCAGCTGTTTTTTTCTGTGGAACACAAAAGAAGAATATTTGTACCGCTTTTCATATAAAGACAGTTCATTATGATCTCTCAAACTCAAATAACAATGTAAAAGTATCATAAAAACAGGACTCATGTTATATATATTGCATGTCTTAAGCCATACGGGTCAACAGTTTAGGGTCAATAACACCCTATTTTTTGAAAAAAAGTACACTTTTAATTAGCAAGAATGCATTAAATAAAAACGCGACAGTAAAGACTTTAATGTAAATGTAAAAAAAATTACAAAACAGTTCAAATATTTCACATTATTACGTTTTTTACTCTTTTTAATCAAACAAAGGTAGCTTTGTGTGAGGAACAGAAATTTCGGACAAAAATGTAAGTCTTTCTCTCTGTTGTAGATATTGTATGGCTTTTATATTGCATTTTTGTCCTTTTTGTAGCTTGTCAGATGTGATCGCTTCGAATTGTTATTATATGGAAAAGAGATGTGTGAAAATATTACAAAATTATCCTTTTGTGTTCCACAGAAAAAAAAATAACAGCAGCACATAAAGTTTAGAACAATGCGATGGTTATTCATTTTTAGGTGAACTATTCCTTTAAGACGAATAAGAGAGATCATGGCAGGATGAATAGCTGGTTATTACCTGTCCCACAGGGTGGGAAGTTCCTCCTGGAGATCATAATTGATCTCCTCAAATACCTTCTGAGCTCTGCCCAACTCTTCCTCAGCCTAAACACACACAAACACATCAACACACATGGTCATTAGGCTAAACACACGATAATTTATGAAAATACATATACAAAGAATTATGCGTTCAACTCTGCATGAATAGACGGTGGACAAATGGACCCTGTGATCTGATTCCTTTCTACTGGAATCTGCAGAAAGCATTTAAAACAAACATAAAACATTTACTCACCACATGTCATTTCAAACTGTATTACTTTATTTTGTATAACACAAAACAATCAACTCTACAGAATGTTTCTCCATACAATGAAAATGTAAATGAAATATTGTATCTAAAAAAAAGAAATGAAATAGTTAGCAGGGCTATCAAGCTCCAAAAAAGCACCAAAAATACCATAAAAGCACTTCACATGACTTGTGTGCTATAGCCAACGTCCTTTAAATAATGACACTGTTGTCTTCTGTAGAGTTGCTTATTATAGGTGTAGGTAAATTGTAGGTGAGTAAAATACATAAAGAATTAAAAAAAAAAAATTTTTTTTAGAGAACTATACTACTGTTTAAAAGTTTAGGGTCATAATTTTATTCAGCTAAGATTCATTAAATTGATTTGAAGTGAAAGTGAAGACTGCAAAATAAATGCTGTTGCTTTAAACATTCTATTCATCAAAGAATCCTGAAACAAAATCACAGTTTCCACAAAAATATTGATCAGAAAAACGGTCTTCAACATTAACAATAGTAAGAAATGATTCTTGAGCAGCAAACAGCATATTAGGTTGATTTCTGAAGGATCATGTGACACTGAAGACTGGAGTAATGATGCATCACAAGAAAAAAATGTAAATATATTCAAATAGAAAATGGTTATTTAAAATTGTAATAATAGTTCACAATTATACTCAGTATAAAATAAATGCAGCAATGAAGAGACTTATTTCAAAAACACTAAAACATCTTACTGACCCCAAACTTTTGGACAGTATTCTTTTAAACAAACATTCATTTTTATGTCATACATACAAAAGCATGAAGTAAATACACCTGAGGAACACAGATGCTACATGAGGAAGCCACACTGTGAGTGGGTGCGGACTGTGAGTAGGTGGGTGGAGTTATGCAGATTAAGGGAGGGTTTACAGGCTGAGTGACAGATGAGTCACCTGGCTTCTCGAGAGGTTAGTTTGAGCGATTTGGTGTGCTGTGATTATTCCCTGAGCCCAGCCGGGAGCAGCCTTCTCCACCAGAGCCAGAGGCTAGACGTGCAGCAAAGAGACAGCAACAAACACACTCAAGTGCTGATGTTAGCTCACACAAATCTCATCAAGCAAAATAACAGCTTGTGCAAATGCACACATACACTAACTCAAGCATATAAATTGACTGCAATACATGAATTACGTATTGTTATAGCAATAAGCTGGTTAGTTAACAAGGTTTAAGGACAAAAAGCCAGACAGTACAGCATACATTAACAAGCTGGAACGAGCATCCGGTACCTTGGCAATTTTGGCCTCATCCTTTTTCTTGCTTTTCTGTATAGAGGCAAAATGATGTCTGGCACTGTCAAAATCTACCAGCTTCCTTTCGCGCTTAGCGATGCGAGTCTGCAGAGGGAGTCAGAGAGTCACAAGTCCATCTTACACAGCAGTAACTAACTACTGTAAATAGACAATGGCTTTAAATGGTTCCCAGGGTGTTGTTATAAGGTTGTGAGTGTTGCTATGTAATGCATCTGCATGCTGGTGTCTAGATATGGCCAGAACCCTACTTCCGTGTAAAGCCCTATTTAAGCAATAATTGTTTCTCATGGGGACGTCTGCAAAAATTAATTTGCATGGAACATCGTTGATAAAAGTCATGAATTCGTATGGTGATTTACATCATGATGCTACAGTTGAGCTGTTTATGTTGTCAGTCAAATGATTGTCAGCTATTAACAAAATGTCTGTTATTGATTGGATTGCTCATATTTAATTTAATGACAGGACAATAATTTATTTTATTATTTAAATAATTTTTAAGTATTTTAAAAATAGGATAATCAATGCACTATAGATTAAATGGCTTTCAGTCTTGCATTTTATCTCTCAAATTTATGTTATTTTAAAAATGTGGAAATGAGCAAAAATCAGTTAAAGCAAACTCATATTTACCAATCGGCCAATAGTTGTTTGTTCAAATCGGTGTCAGCCAAAAAATAAATCCTATTGGTGCATCCCTAATAATGACCCATTTCAAAAATGATACATGATTTTCTTTTCTTAACAGCTCCTATTCATTGTAGTGGAACTGTGATTAAATAAAATCCTTGTAAACATAAAAGTGTCCATATTTAAAATGCGTGCACATTATCACAAAGCACAACCATTACTGTACGGTGCTTAGCAGCGATCAAAAGACATTTACAAAACCACTTTTCGATTGATCCCTTCTTATAAACTCAGAGATGTGGATTCACACAGCAATTAAATTACCACACAACCTTGGTGTTTGTCAAAAAACAGTAGGTAATTTAGCTGGGAATTTTTACGCGGGTGAAAAAAAACAGACATTCTGAATTTGGACAGCAATAAAATCACTGACTAGTTCCTGTAAATGTTGAAATGCTTACATCTACCACTTATTAAAGCAAAAACAAACCTTTATGTCTGGAAATTGAGCCAAATATGTGTCCATGGAAATGAGGGCATCGTCCACAAGCTTCTGGTGGAAATCTTGCCACAGGAGGTCAGTGTCCTGTAAAACAAATGTGATCAGACACATACAGCAAGACACATACTCTCACGCTCTCTCTCTCACACACACACACACACACACTGACAAACCACTGATGACAAAAGTCTAAATATATGTGTACAGAACTATTCTAAAATAGAGTTCACTGCAGTGGCACTACTCTAGCATCACCAGCACCAGCTCTAGACTAGACCGTCATGTTTACCTCCAGATTATTATCCATTTCTTTCTCTATCATCTCCTTTACTCACAGAGGGATGGGTGAGTGGAAGAAATCAAAGAAATGTAGAAAACACAATCAATTTGCAGATTAATAAGTCAACCGAGATTTAAACATCAGAATGGACAGCAGCGATCCTTCACTTGCATACAGTCTTAAAGTTCACCCAAAATGGAAATTTGCAGGTTTTTTTTTTTTTTGCTGAATTTACTCACCTTCCTCATATTTACCAATCGGCCAATAGTTGTTTGTTCAAATCGGTGTCAGCCAAAAAATAAATCCTATTGGTGCATCCCTAATAATGACCCATTTCAAAAATGATACATGATTTTCTTTTCTTAACAGCTCCTATTCATTGTAGTGGAACTGTGATTAAATAAAATCCTTGTAAACATAAAAGTGTCCATATTTAAAATGCGTGCACATTATCACAAAGCACAACCATTACTGTACGGTGCTTAGCAGCGATCAAAAGACATTTACAAAACCACTTTTCGATTGATCCCTTCTTATAAACTCAGAGATGTGGATTCACACAGCAATTAAATTACCACACAACCTTGGTGTTTGTCAAAAAACAGTAGGTAATTTAGCTGGGAATTTTTACGCGGGTGAAAAAAAACAGACATTCTGAATTTGGACAGCAATAAAATCACTGACTAGTTCCTGTAAATGTTGAAATGCTTACATCTACCACTTATTAAAGCAAAAACAAACCTTTATGTCTGGAAATTGAGCCAAATATGTGTCCATGGAAATGAGGGCATCGTCCACAAGCTTCTGGTGGAAATCTTGCCACAGGAGGTCAGTGTCCTGTAAAACAAATGTGATCAGACACATACAGCAAGACACATACTCTCACGCTCTCTCTCTCACACACACACACACACACACTGACAAACCACTGATGACAAAAGTCTAAATATATGTGTACAGAACTATTCTAAAATAGAGTTCACTGCAGTGGCACTACTCTAGCATCACCAGCACCAGCTCTAGACTAGACCGTCATGTTTACCTCCAGATTATTATCCATTTCTTTCTCTATCATCTCCTTTACTCACGGAGGGATGGGTGAGTGGAAGAAATCAAAGAAATGTAGAAAACACAATCAATTTGCAGATTAATAAGTCAACCGAGATTTAAACATCAGAATGGACAGCAGCGATCCTTCACTTGCATACAGTCTTAAAGTTCACCCAAAATGGAAATTTGCAGGTTTTTTTTTTTTTTTGCTGAATTTACTCACCTTTCGGAGGGATGGGTGAGTGGAAGAAATCAAAGAAATGTAGAAAACACAATCAATTTGCAGATTAATAAGTCAACCGAGATTTAAACATCAGAATGGACAGCAGCGATCCTTCACTTGCATACAGTCTTAAAGTTCACCCAAAATGGAAATTTGCAGGTTTTTTTTTTTTTTTTCTGAATTTACTCACCTTCAGACTGTCAAAATCTACCAGCTTCCTTTCGCGCTTAGCGATGCGAGTCTGCAGAGGGAGTCAGAGAGTCACAAGTCCATCTTACACAGCAGTAACTAACTACTGTAAATAGACAATGGCTTTAAATGGTTCCCAGGGTGTTGTTATAAGGTTGTGAGTGTTGCTATGTAATGCATCTGCATGCTGGTGTCTAGATATGGCCAGAACCCTACTTCCGTGTAAAGCCCTATTTAAGCAATAATTGTTTCTCATGGGGACGTCTGCAAAAATTAATTTGCATGGAACATCGTTGATAAAAGTCATGAATTCGTATGGTGATTTACATCATGATGCTACAGTTGAGCTGTTTATGTTGTCAGTCAAATGATTGTCAGCTATTAACAAAATGTCTGTTATTGATTGGATTGCTCATATTTAATTTAATGACAGGACAATAATTTATTTTATTATTTAAATAATTTTTAAGTATTTTAAAAATAGGATAATCAATGCACTATAGATTAAATGGCTTTCAGTCTTGCATTTTATCTCTCAAATTGATGTTATTTTAAAAATGTGGAAATTAGCAAAAATCAGTTAAAGCAAACTCATATTTACCAATCGGCCAATAGTTGTTTGTTCAAATCGGTGTCAGCCAAAAAATAAATCCTATTGGTGCATCCCTAATAATGACCCATTTCAAAAATGATACATGATTTTCTTTTCTTAACAGCTCCTATTCATTGTAGTGGAACTGTGATTAAATAAAATCCTTGTAAACATAAAAGTGTCCATATTTAAAATGCGTGCACATTATCACAAAGCACAACCATTACTGTACGGTGCTTAGCAGCGATCAAAAGACATTTACAAAACCACTTTTCGATTGATCCCTTCTTATAAACTCAGAGATGTGGATTCACACAGCAATTAAATTACCACACAACCTTGGTGTTTGTCAAAAAACAGTAGGTAATTTAGCTGGGAATTTTTACGCGGGTGAAAAAAAACAGACATTCTGAATTTGGACAGCAATAAAATCACTGACTAGTTCCTGTAAATGTTGAAATGCTTACATCTACCACTTATTAAAGCAAAAACAAACCTTTATGTCTGGAAATTGAGCCAAATATGTGTCCATGGAAATGAGGGCATCGTCCACAAGCTTCTGGTGGAAATCTTGCCACAGGAGGTCAGTGTCCTGTAAAACAAATGTGATCAGACACATACAGCAAGACACATACTCTCACGCTCTCTCTCACACACACACACACACACACTGACAAACCACTGATGACAAAAGTCTAAATATATGTGTACAGAACTATTCTAAAATAGAGTTCACTGCAGTGGCACTACTCTAGCATCACCAGCACCAGCTCTAGACTAGACCGTCATGTTTACCTCCAGATTATTATCCATTTCTTTCTCTATCATCTCCTTTACTCACAGAGGGATGGGTGAGTGGAAGAAATCAAAGAAATGTAGAAAACACAATCAATTTGCAGATTAATAAGTCAACCGAGATTTAAACATCAGAATGGACAGCAGCGATCCTTCACTTGCATACAGTCTTAAAGTTCACCCAAAATGGAAATTTGCAGGTTTTTTTTTTTTTTTGCTGAATTTACTCACCTTCAGGTCATCCAAGATGTAGATGAGTAAAATGTAAAATTTAGCATAACATAATTTTTGCACCAGTGGATGCTCTGCAGTGAATGGGTGCCGTCAGAATGAGAGTCCAAACAGCTGATCAAAAAAAAATCCACACTTTTGTTTTGTTTTTATCAGCTGTTTGAGTCTGAAGAAAATCCTTTACATCTTAAGACGCCCTGAAGGTGACTACATTTTTAGAATATTTTCATTTTTGGGATTTATTTTTTTTAAATTCTAATTTAGAATTAAAATATACACTGCTGTAAGATTTGTAAAAATGTTTTTGAAATCTCTTATGTTCACCAAGGCTGATTTATCTGATCCAAAATACATTAAAAACTATAATATTGTGAAATATTATTAGAATTTAAAATACCTGTTTTATATTTGAATACATTTTAAAATGTAATTTAATCCTGTGATGCAAAGCTGAATTTTCAGCATCATTACTCCAGGCTTCAGTGTCACATGATCCTTCAGAAATCATTCTAATATGCTGATTTGCTGCTCAATAATTATTTTATTTAAATCCACACTTTTGTTTTGTTTTTATCAGCTGTTTGAGTCTGAAGAAAATCCTTTACATCTTAAGACGCCCTGAAGGTGACTACATTTTTAGAATATTTTCATTTTTGGGATTTATTTTTTTTTTAATTCTAATTTAGAATTAAAATATACACTGCTGTAAGATTTGTAAAAATGTTTTTGAAATCTCTTATGTTCACCAAGGCTGATTTATCTGATCCAAAATACATTAAAAACTATAATATTGTGAAATATTATTAGAATTTAAAATACCTGTTTTATATTTGAATACATTTTAAAATGTAATTTAATCCTGTGATGCAAAGCTGAATTTTCAGCATCATTACTCCAGGCTTCAGTGTCACATGATCCTTCAGAAATCATTCTAATATGCTGATTTGCTGCTCAATAATTATTTTATTTTTATCAATGTTGGAAACAGTTTTGCTGCTTGATATATTTGTGTAAAATGTGATAATTCTTTTCTCTCAAAAATATTATTTGGTATCTTAGCACATCTGGGATAAGTATGAGACTTGATTAAATTGAATCCAGTCTCCTATGATCATTAATATTTTCCTCTGGCTCTTCTGAAGACAAATTTAAGGTTACTGTGGCCCTTTTGCACAGTATGTGAGAATCAAGAAACAACTGACATATTAAAGAGATTTTATTTTCCTATGAGATTTTTCACACTGAAAACACTAATGTCACACAATCCAGACAGAGTGTTTTGCTCTGCCAGTGACATCCTTACACACCTCTGCGATGGAGTCCACCTCCTCTTTGCCAAACCACTCAGGGTCATACATTTCTGCCAGACAGTCCTGCAGATGCTTCGAACAATCGTGCATGGCTGCGGAAAACAAAAAACGGATCAGCTAAGAGACAGTCATTGACACAGATGACTGCTCAATCACTCAACCAAACACACATCTTTCAGAGAAGTGAGAACTGCTGTGGGCACAGAGGAGGAAGCTGAGGTGATGGGGTTGTGCATTAGGACAGCACACTAGAGTCTGATGTAAAAGGAAGAAGGCTATCTGCTTACTTTACATTTCTTTAATGTACTACCACTCACCAGTGGTTAAAGTGGTAGTTCATCCGTAAATGAAAATGCTGCCTTAAAGATTTGGCACTAACATTTGGTCAAACTTACATGTTACAAGGAAGAACAAAAAACATGGGGTGAGTAAATGATGACAGTGTTTAATTTTTAGGTGAACTATCACTTTAAGAGCAAACCAGTATGGCCAGACCTGAAAACACTTTCCACATGTTTACAACCTAGAAAGAATTTGTGACTCCCTTATCTGTTACAGATGGAGGCAGGTACAGCTATAGACGCAGGACTGAGTATGTTCAGTCACAATCTTCTGTTTTGCTTTTAGAGAAGCTCCTGTATTTTATCTGAGAGAAGGCTGCATTTAAATACAAAGGAGCATGATAGAGTGATTGCACATTTGGTTCTACTTTTGCCAAATGACCATACTGAACAGATGCGTCATGATTGTGTTTGCGTTTTCTTTCAAATTGACTAGATTAGCTTTCTCTAAATTATGTCACATGCCACTACAAAGGCATTAAAAGCATAGCTCACCCCAACCCCACCAAAAAAAAGAAAACTATGTCATAATTTACTCACCTTCAAGTCGTGTAACAAAAATGTTATGACTTTCTTTCTTCTATGGAACATAAAAAATATATTCAATGACTTTCAAAGAAAGTCAATGGTTACCAAAATATATTCTTTTGGGTTCCACAGTGGAATGAAAGTCATACAGGTTTGGAACAAACATGAGGGTGAGTAAATGATAATTGAATGTTAATTAAACTCTCGCTGATCTCTTTTATTAAAATGTATACACAGACACACAATTAGAGTCTTACTTTTCACTGCCGCCATATATGCCTTCAAGTCTTTCTGCAATTTGGTGCCATCAGCCTGCAGATATAGACCAGAGAGAAGAAACCACCACTAGATATTTAAGAACTACGATGAGGGTTAGAGGTCAAATGTCAAGGCAAGGAGTATATTAAGGAGGGGGGTCAGAGATGGTGAAGGTTTAAGGCTCTTACCAGCTGCTTGTTGAATTTGGCCACTTCCTCCTCAAATGCTGTGTCTTTTGTTTCATCCGCCTTTCCCAACTTCTGCAACACCTATCATAGAGCAACGCAAAACAGGCAACATCATACATACACATACAAACACATATGGTCCACAACTTCTGCTTTACTGGTTTGCAGGCCAGGCTTTGTGTTTGTGGGGACCAAGGCGAGAATTTATAAATATCATAATCTAACAACACCAAATGTAACAAGTGGTTTTTCTTTGTAAATGAAAGCGCTAAAAAAAAATCACATTATACGTAATTTGAATTCATGTAAAGAAACAACAAATGAAGAACTATGGATAATGGTGAGTAGAAAGTATAATGTATTTTTGTGAAAAGACTGGTTTAAGACGCGTCACTCGTATAGTTTTGAATGGGGGGAAATGCAGCAGGAAGCCCCGCCTTCTGAATGAAAGAGCCAATCGCTAATCGGTAAAGTCAGCGAGTCACTGCAGCTGCCGTTAGAAGTCCCTGTTGCTATAGAAACAGTCGGCGTTCTGAGACGTGCGCTTAGGACTGCACATGCGCACTGGCTGATCTAGCCTGAAAAATGGCTTTTTATAACGCTATTTGAGCAAAAGAAACAACATTTATGATACTGTTGTTGTCAGATTTCTCTGGTGATTTCAAATATGAAATCCAATTACATATAATTGTGATAAAATCATCGGCATGACATTACTGCTTTAATAACTTCTTCAGCAGCTGTCGAACATTTTGCAGGACATAGACTTTTTGATTAATTCATCTGATTTACGATTTGTAATGCATTTTTCCTTTTAAACAAATGAAAAGCACAGTCTTAAGAGTGCAGATGTGTATGTGTGTCTTAAAAGGGTGGCAAGAAACAGGGTCTTAGATCCCCGGCCACCACAAATGATGCTTTCAGTATCAGTTCCATGTTCCTCTTCCCTATGAAGAACGCTGACATACAGTTACTGTTCATAAAAAATGAAACTTATTCAAGAAGGCTCCCAATGAGTTCCTGAGAGTGTGTCATTGTGCCATGCACACATACAAACACCTGCCAACAGTTCAAAGCACAATGTCCTTTTATTCCATACGATGTTTCCATTATACAAGACATAACTATTTCCTAGCAGATTTAACTATGCACATTTCCTTTAGTTCAGATTGCCCTATTTCCTGTCCAGCATGTATGAGGTAGTGCTTGAATCCGGTTCTATTTATTCAGAGGTCATTTCCTTTTCCTTCTGCTCCCCCATATCAACTCCTGTCGGCATATTAAACATGCCATGCCATTTGTGACCCAAAGAGATTGGTCTCCGTCAGCCTGACAGAAAAATACAGTAAGTTCCAGAGAAGTTCCTTGTCTAGCAGAGCAAAAGAATCCAATAAAGCTCGAGGGGAAATCACAGTAACCTCTAATCTCCCACTGGCTTTCTCTTGGCCTATATTAATAAAGGCCGTGTCAGCTGTGCTCTTCTTGAAGAATGTATGAATGTGTATTACTGTGCAGGGAGTGTTTGAAAGCTGATCCTGAATGCATTGCAGCAGGACCCCTCCCTCGAGCCCCCTGACATCTTAAAATACAGCGGCCTGCATCTGTGTCATGATGACCTGTGCTCCCTGTGCAGTAGAGCAGATCTGGGATGAAGGCATTCTCTCTGACTCAGAGGTCTTCCAGGAACACTGGATATGACTGTACTCACTGAGCTAGTGGTCGAACGGCATGGATTTTTCAATTGCTGACGAGATATCTAGAGAGCAAGTGGTTGGTGAACGGTATGATAAAATAATACAGAATTTATAAGATAGAAGATGATTTGTGTCACTCACTACTTGCTCAAAATTCACTTTCAATTTTCTGAAATAGAGCAATATCCACTAATATGACTGTCAGTAAATTTTGTTAATACTGAGTTTTGTTTATGAGTCAAGCAGACATAGTTATTGGTCAATAAAAAAAAAAAGATTATTCAATTAATCAGGCTGGCTAGTATATCAGTTATTTGGTCTGTATCTTCTTGTCTTGAAAGCTAATGCTAATACGCTACTATTCGAAAATGGGGGTTGATGAGATTTTTAAATGTTTTTGAAAGTTTCTTATACTCACCAAGGCCCTATTTATTTCAAAAACACGTTAAGACAATAATATTGTGAAATGTTAATACAATTTAAAATGATCTGTTTTAATATTCTATTAAATTCTATATTAATATTGTAAAATAGGCTATAATTTAATCATGTGATTGCAAAGCTGAATTTTTAGGATGATTACTCCAGTCTTCAGTGTCACATGATCCTTCAAAAATCATTCTAATATGCTGTTTTGCTGCTCAAAAACATTTCTTATTATTATCAGTGTTGAAAACAGTTGTGCTGATTAATATTTTTGTGGGCAAACCATTTTTCCAGGATACTTTGATACATACAATGTCAAAAGAACAGAATTTATTTGAAATCTTTAGAAACATAAATGTGAGCCTGGACCAGTCATAAGGGTAAATTTTTTTGAAATTGAGATTTATACATCATCGGAAAGCTGAATAAATAAGCTTTCCATTGATGTATGGTATTGTTAGGATAGGACAATATTTGGCCGAGAAAAAATCTAAATCTTGAGAAAATTGCCTTTAAAGTTGTCCGAATGAAGTTCTTAGCAATGCATATTACTAATCAAAAATTAAGTTTTGATATATTTACAGTAGGAAATTTACTAAATATCTTCAATGGAACATGATCTTTACTTAATATCTTAATTTGGCATAAAAGAAAAATGTATCATTTTGACCCATACAATGTATTGTTGGCTATTGCTACAAATATACCCCAGCGACTTAAGACTGGTTTTGAGGTCCAGGGTCACAAATGTCTTTGATGTCACTCTTTTGATCAATTAATGCAACCTTACTGAATAAAAATATTAATTCTGAACTAGCGATGAGTCGTTAGTGAATGATTTGAATCATGTTTTTTGAATCTGTTATCTTTCCTAAATCAAAACACGGGTGCTGATAAAATTGGATACTATGCAGCTAATCTGCTCTGTTTATACAAGTTGTGTTGTGTGCAACTCCACCCAAAAGCAGCACTGATGGGAAGATCGCATCATTCTGCCAACTTCATCGTTGAATTTCATGCAATTAAATTAACTAATTTATACTTTTGAGAGAAGGAAAAGTATTTATTTTCAATATCCAAATTCCTTGAGCACATCCACGTGCATTCTTTGATCATACTGCGCATTAGGAAATCATTATAATGCAGCCAAAGATAAATTATGAGAAACATAAACGATTAGTTCACCTCCAGAGTCCAGAGTTTTTTATTCATTTGTCATGTAACAGACGCACAATGAAAATCGTTGATTAATGACCTATCACAAGCACAAACGGTTTTAAAAGCACCACAAGTGATACATTCTTTAGGAAGTTCTATTCTGAGAGCACTTAATAAATTTATAACCGTAAACAAAGGCATTTCCTATGAAAAATACAAAAATATCCTGACTTTCTCAACTTTTGTTCAGTTATACTTCTGCTCTAGCTTCTGTACTCTTCTGATTTACAATCGAAACTGCTAATTTTATCATCCTGTATGGTTCCTCATTTGGAAGCTGCCTTGCATAATGTGTCCGTGTCCTAAAATTTGCTTAAATTACAGTCTGTTCGTATGGTTTTAGAAGAATAATATAGTACACAAGTCATATGAACTGCTTTTTTGTCCTTTTTGGAATCTCTGGTCATTGTATACTTCAATTGTATATGAGCAGCAGGAACGTTTTCCAAGTTGTCTCCTTTTGTGTTTCACAGACAAAAAGTCATCCGGGTTTTGAATGACATGAGTAAATGATGGCAAAATTTTCATTTCTGTCATGACAACTCTCAGAGGGATTGGCATGGTAATGTACATGACAATGTTAATGTATTTGGTCTTGTATCTTCTTGTCTTGAAAGCTAATGCTAATACGCTACTATTCGAAAATGGGGGTTGATGAGATTTTTAAATGTTTTTGAAAGTTTCTTATACTCACCAAGGCCCTATTTATTTCAAAAACACGTTAAGACAATAATATTGTGAAATGTTAATACAATTTAAAATGATCTGTTTTAATATTCTATTAAATTCTATATTAATATTGTAAAATAGGCTATAATTTAATCATGTGATTGCAAAGCTGAATTTTTAGGATGATTACTCCAGTCTTCAGTGTCACATGATCCTTCAAAAATCATTCTAATATGCTGTTTTGCTGCTCAAAAACATTTCTTATTATTATCAGTGTTGAAAACAGTTGTGCTGATTAATATTTTTGTGGGCAAACCATTTTTCCAGGATACTTTGATACATACAATGTCAAAAGAACAGAATTTATTTGAAATCTTTAGAAACATAAATGTGAGCCTGGACCAGTCATAAGGGTAAATTTTTTTGAAATTGAGATTTATACATCATCGGAAAGCTGAATAAATAAGCTTTCCATTGATGTATGGTATTGTTAGGATAGGACAATATTTGGCCGAGAAAAAATCTAAATCTTGAGAAAATTGCCTTTAAAGTTGTCCGAATGAAGTTCTTAGCAATGCATATTACTAATCAAAAATTAAGTTTTGATATATTTACAGTAGGAAATTTACTAAATATCTTCAATGGAACATGATCTTTACTTAATATCTTAATTTGGCATAAAAGAAAAATGTATCATTTTGACCCATACAATGTATTGTTGGCTATTGCTACAAATATACCCCAGCGACTTAAGACTGGTTTTGAGGTCCAGGGTCACAAATGTCTTTGATGTCACTCTTTTGATCAATTAATGCAACCTTACTGAATAAAAATATTAATTCTGAACTAGCGATGAGTCGTTAGTGAATGATTTGAATCATGTTTTTTGAATCTGTTATCTTTCCTAAATCAAAACACGGGTGCTGATAAAATTGGATACTATGCAGCTAATCTGCTCTGTTTATACAAGTTGTGTTGTGTGCAACTCCACCCAAAAGCAGCACTGATGGGAAGATCGCATCATTCTGCCAACTTCATCGTTGAATTTCATGCAATTAAATTAACTAATTTATACTTTTGAGAGAAGGAAAAGTATTTATTTTCAATATCCAAATTCCTTGAGCACATCCACGTGCATTCTTTGATCATACTGCGCATTAGGAAATCATTATAATGCAGCCAAAGATAAATTATGAGAAACATAAACGATTAGTTCACCTCCAGAGTCCAGAGTTTTTTATTCATTTGTCATGTAACAGACGCACAATGAAAATCGTTGATTAATGACCTATCACAAGCACAAACGGTTTTAAAAGCACCACAAGTGATACATTCTTTAGGAAGTTCTATTCTGAGAGCACTTAATAAATTTATAACCGTAAACAAAGGCATTTCCTATGAAAAATACAAAAATATCCTGACTTTCTCAACTTTTGTTCAGTTATACTTCTGCTCTAGCTTCTGTACTCTTCTGATTTACAATCGAAACTGCTAATTTTATCATCCTGTATGGTTCCTCATTTGGAAGCTGCCTTGCATAATGTGTCCGTGTCCTAAAATTTGCTTAAATTACAGTCTGTTCGTATGGTTTTAGAAGAATAATATAGTACACAAGTCATATGAACTGCTTTTTTGTCCTTTTTGGAATCTCTGGTCATTGTATACTTCAATTGTATATGAGCAGCAGGAACGTTTTCCAAGTTGTCTCCTTTTGTGTTTCACAGACAAAAAGTCATCCGGGTTTTGAATGACATGAGTAAATGATGGCAAAATTTTCATTTCTGTCATGACAACTCTCAGAGGGATTGGCATGGTAATGTACATGACAATGTTAATGTATTTGGTCTTGGCGGAATATCCACAACATGCTGCTGTGAGCATGTAAGAAATATTGCTGCTGCAAATATAACATACATGAAATAACACCCCATATAGCATACACAAATCACCTCGTAGCAGATCTATACAGGTGGAGCTGGGGAAGGTGGAGGGTTTCTCTGTATTTACAGCAGAACTATTTGTGAATCAGCATGTTTAATTAATACAGCTCTGATCAAACCAGTGCCAACCATTTGTCCGGCAGCTGTTAAGATTCCTAAGTGTGTGTGAGCGAAACACTCGAGCAACTGAGAGGCAAGTTTATACTAATTGATGCAGTTATCCATATTAATACACCCTGAAGATCTGACGCCATACAACTGCAAATTCATTTTCTCTTTCCTCTACAACAACATAGACTTTTATTGATTTACATAAAGAAGGATTTTTAGCTTCAAAATGCCCTGAAAGGTTTTGTCAGACTGAGCTATATTTCTGGGACAAATCTGTCTAAAGTAAACACACACCCACACTTCTGCTGTCTCATGGGAGTGGCAAGCGGATGGGCTTAATAAGTGTGTCTGTGGAGCCTTAACTAACAGGTTAAAGGAGCTTACAATGAGAGAAATTTGGCAGTAGCCTGTAGTATGTGCTTGTGCGAAATTATGACCGCATTCTCTCAAGTATAAACCAAATGTCACTTCATCTGTATTTTATAAAGGCCCTGGTCTTTACTTCTGGTCGATGTGTGCTGGTGTTCAGTTACAGCCCCAAAAATACCCCAGACCACAGCCGCTGGCATTCACATACACCACGGTTTGTCGCACAAGGGGTTTCTGGGGATTAGCTCACAGCTATAGCCTGTCTGCTATTCATAGCCCAATCCACACACTGCTCTATAGCTCTATGAGGACGGACAGGTGTGTGGGTGGAGTGCGGAAGAGGGGTGTGGCTCATCCTTGAGCTTTTGATTGACAGGTCGCCTGCCCAATCAGAACAGAGGTCAGGGGAAGGCTGAGGACACTTCCTTTGGGTTTCTAATCTGAGAAAAGGAGGTGGTTGTAACTTTGCACCAATCTCTTGTCCTCCAGGGTCATTATGTGACAGGACACTTCTGGAATGTTTCTAAAAAAAAAAAAAAAAGGATGGGTGACTCAAGAATAACCTGCCTTGATGTTCCAAATTAGTGACAAACATCATCTAATGACAGACAGGTGGATGTGGGAGAAGCGAAGAGTGAGAAAAGATAGAGGAGAGTGCAGAGATGTGGGCCATTTGCCACTAGAGTATCATGGTTAACTCTCCTCTAGCTGGCCGAGTTTCAGGGGGGAAGAGGAGACCGCGACCTTACCTCAAAGCAATCATGCTGATGGCCAGCGTATCACTTAGAAAGAGTGTACACACACACACACACACACACACACACACACACACGAACACACACATACAGATTCTTTTAGAGTTAGTCCAGCTTTTCACACTCTGAAGAGGCAGAGACAGCTGAGGACTTGAGCCACCGTGAAGTACACTAAATGCAACTAAAACAATTGCTGACAAATAATATTTAGGCCCATTGTAAAGCCTACAGACAAAAGCAATCTGTCCAAAAACGTATTAAATGGATCGTTCATGCAAAGATTAAAAATGCTGTCATAATTAAAGCAACATAACAAACAGTAGTCACTATACTCCAAATTAAGTCTTCTGAAGATAGATACTAGCTAACTCTTCATAGTGAACAGAGCGAAATTTAAGTCATAATTCCCTGAATTACACACAAAGCAACAGAAAATAGGCACTATGAATCTAGTATGCAGGACAGAAGAGCCTCTAGGAAGAAGAACACAAACACAGAAGCAGACAATGATCCAAAAATAACTCTCCTTGTAAACATCTATATGATTACAAAGTAATGAGCCTGCTTGGTTTATATGGATAGGAAATGATAAAACTATCTTTCCTAGAAATCTCCTATCCAAGATGTCTAAGCCTCTTATGAAGAAATAAAAGTGTGAAACTCTATTTAGCATGAAACAACCTAAAACAAAAATGATCAGTATTCTAAAAGACTCAAATGTATTGATTTCTGATGTTTCTGTACTGATTCTAGTGCTAGTTCAGATTATTAACTCATTGAAACAGTGTGCGCGTGTCAGAACCCTAAAATACACCTAGAGACTGGCTGAATTTATCAAGTAGTTCCTATAACCCTGGTCTTACATCCTAAAATTACTCAAATCAAAAGCATGTCACTTTTGCACAGTGCAAGGCTCTGCTGTCCAGCTGTGCGTTCTGGGAGGCCAGCGGTCATTTGGAGCGTTTATCGTGGAAATGACACTTCCTGTGTACCTCCTGCTTTCAGCTGGGGGTTGTTTGTGTTGATGCACCAACCATACCCTGAAACTTAAACTGTGCCACAACATCGCCATTTCCAAACTGCTCCATATGTTCCTGAGAGCCAGGGATTCATTTTGTAGTGGGCATATGTTGTTTGTGAATATCTCTGATTCCATTCTGTTTTAAGTCCTAGTGTATCTTAAATAAAACATTCTGGGCTTTTCTGTGATACAAAATGTTACAGGAGAGAGCGAGACTAGTTGGGGCATGAGGATGTTGTTGTAAGGGTTGTGTAATTATAAAGTGACACAAATGCTTGGTTTCTCTAGTAGTGGGTTTTATGAATCATTAAACCTTAAACAAATGAACCCCACAAAAACAAAAAAAAAATACACTGACACATTCAGACAAGTGCCAACTATATAATGAGGGTAGATTTTAGACGACATTTTTCGTAATAAGTCAGCGAGGGGCAAGTTGTCACGTGTATAATATTATAATTATTTATAATTTTGTCTGTTTCATGAATTGTTTCAGAATAATCTTACTGTTTACATATAGTGGAGCCTACAACACAAAACAGACACTGAGTGAAGAGAAAGCTTTATTTATTTATTTAATTTTTTACTTTAAATTTCATATTTTAAAGGGGTCATATGATGCGATTTAAATTTTTCCTTTCTCTTTGGAGTGTTACAAGCTCTTGGTGCATAAAGAAGATCTGTAAAGTTGCAAAGACTAAAGTCTCAAATCCGAAGAGATATTGTATTCGGCCAATCACAACGTACTGGATAGCTGGCCAATCACAGCACACCTCGCTTTTCAGACCGATGAGCTTTGTAAAAATCGAGGCGGGGCATAAAGGAGAAACAATAACGTACAGTATGTGGAAAATAATGTGTTTTTTTTTACTTTAAACCGCATAAATACATTTCATTACACCAAATACACAACATAATGTTCTTTTTAGTAGCATCATATGACCCCTTTAAAAAAAGGTGTTGTTCTCAAATCAGTGTCAACAGAAGCTCCCTGATGTGACAACTTACCCCATAAGAAAACATGCCCATAAACGATCAATTATTTTGAACTTTAAATTTAACTGTATTTTTAATTATTTATTTTTACTTGGGAAATGACAGTGGAAATGACATTTATTAATTTTTTTTTGTACTCAAGTCTTTAAGGTATGTGCCTGACTTTCAAAATAAATTAAACTTAACCTGGCAAATATTCAGTGGAGTACAAAAGTGTGACAAATAGCCCAAAGTCTCCAATACGACTATATAATATAATATAATATAATGAATGGTTGATTCAATAGCAAGTAAAACTCAAATGTCAAAAGAGCTCTGGTCACTAACAGCTGCTCTTTAATGCACTTAATCTCAAATGACCCCATCAGTTTCAAACATAACTTTAACAGGAACTCTCTTGCTCTTGGAATGAGAAATACATCCATCTTTTCAACGCAAGACAGAATGACAAACACATGAGCGAGTGTGTTATATGAAGTGTTTCAGTGCTGTTCAGCTGTTATTTGTAGTCTCTTCCTACAGTAAACACAGTCAGATTATTTGACACTTAGAACACCTATTCAGCAGGTCGCAGTTGAATGTACAAACTAAATAACAACAACAAAATACATAACTGTTACATATACAAAGAGAATAGATATAAGCACGCATACCTTCTCTTGTGCTCGGGTTATCCTCTTCTGTACATTACTGGCCAGTTTCCCGGCGTTGACTCCTTTCCCTACCTCTGCCATGTTTGAGCTTCAAGTTTCCAAAGTGAATAAATAAATAAATAAACCGTTATGAATGAAGTAAAGCGCAGAGAGACTGGCAGGAGATACAGAAGAACAGTAAAGAATGGGGAAATACTGTCGGATCAACAGGAGGTCGGTGGGCTACTCTTAAAGAGACAGTGCGCGAGTTCAGAGTCCTAAATGTGGACACGGAGCGTTATTATTGGACTAAACTCCTTCCAAACTACGCTATCAAAAAGTTTAAACTTAAAACCGTCAAACAATTTACGGTCTAACGGGTTCCGTTGTTCGCCTGAGCTGACAAGCGACTGGAAAACGAGAGAGAGAGAGAGAGAGAGAGAGAGAGAGAGAGAGAGAGAGAGAGAGGGGTGAGAGAGGGAGCGGGTGTGGGCTCAGA